GTGTGTGTGTGTGTGTGTGTATTTACTATAATAATGTATCTGACATTCTGAGAATAATACCTTATTGCAAGAACGTATGTTGGTCACCTTTAGACAAAAACAACAAAAAAACCCAACATTCACAGCTATTTTTTCACATAATTCTACATAATTTGTGTGCTATCTAATATTGTAGGTTGCACAAAAGTTTGCTGAAAAGCAGGTTTCATTGCACAGTTCTGTCACAGTCATTTACAATCAAACATCACATACTGCATTTTCCATGCCCCTTGTTGTTTTATAGCTGCCAAACAAGAAATGTGATAGAGGGCCTGATCTTACATTGTCTACACAGGAAGAACTTTCATTCCCTTCAATGGGAGTTCTTCATTGTAAAGGAAATGCCTAAAAGAGTCTATACTGGAGTTTTCATATTATAGAAATAGCTTTCCCTCATACCTTCATCACTATAAATAATGTATATGTAAATAAAATTCCTAAAAATAAAACTGTCTTCAAAGTGCTAGAAAAGTTTAAGATTTATAATTTGCTTGTTAAATACAAACCAAGTTTAAAGTCCCTTAAGAGACTGAATAATCCATTGTTTAGAGCCCTAAATTAGAATTTTTGGAGTATGGTCCATATTTAAAACACTGTTTGATTTCTGTTACGGTGGCAGTGTAAAATAGTTGTTAATGGCAAAGTATAAACAGAAGCAATAGCTGGTTGAGATTACAAAAAAATGTACTGCTTTTATCTGGGAATGTTAGTAAGAGCTCTGGAGAGTTTGATATTCTTACATATTTTCCTAAAAAATGTCAAAATGAAACATTTTGCCTCTATAACATTCATCTGAAATTCAAAGAGTATCAATGCATGACAAACAAATCAAAATAAAATACTGCTTTTAAAAGATATTTCACTATCATTAAAAGGATGAAAATATAATAGCTTTTACTAGTATGAATTTTAAGGGCAAACTTCTTACTGGAAATCATATGCATACAAAATACTTTATTCTTGTAT